TTTTTTTTGTATCAAACCCATGACCTCGGTGTTGCTAGTCAAGTCAAGTCACCTTTATTTATATAGCGCTTGATCCAATACAGACTGCAATACAAATTCTGCTGCTAGCACTTACTTTTCTACTTTTTGAGCTGTATCAGCTCTTTAAAATAAAGTAGTGTTTCACTTATTCACTTACAATGCGATATAAACATAGACTGGTTATAATGTTTTTCTCCATCCAGTAATAATCATAACTTGATAACTGTCGCTGCTACAAACATTCAATCATTTAAACAAAACAATGTTAAAGGGATACTCCACCCAAAAATGGAAAATTCAGACATCATTTACACACCCTCACGTCGTTCCAAACCTGTATGACATTCTTTCTTCTGTGAAACATAAAAGAAGATATCTTGAAGAATGTTGATAACCAACCAGTTTCGGTTCCCAATTTTCTGTAAAATATTTTCTTTTAAGTTCTACAGAAGAAAGAAAGGCATGCAGGTTTGGAACGACACAAGGGTGAGTAAACGATGACAGAATCTTCATTTTCTGGCTTTAAATGTGACAGGAAAAAAACTTTTGTGAATAATACACTATAATAATAAAATAAATTCTATAATAAACCTCTTTTACATAAAAAGGAGGTGAAAAGAATGACAATTATGTGAATGCTTACAGGATTCTTGTAGCTCAAAGAGCAAAGCATAGCACTAGGAACACCAAGGTCACAGGTTGGATTCCCAAGGAAATGCATGATGAAAGCAAATACAATGCCAAACATAAAAGTTAATAATAAGCTTGAAACGATTCGCAAAGCATTTGTAAATCATTTGTCTGCAAGGGAGTCAAACATGAACCATAAACAAACAAAACAACATTTGATTAAATCCATTTCACCTACTTGAAAAACAAAGTGATAAACAGCACAAAAACATGGAAAAAAATTGCACAAAAAATGCAGAGCAGGGACTTCAGGGAACAGTCTTAATGCATTGCACAAATGCTTTTTTTTTGCTTTCACTAAAATGAATTGGGCTTCACAATACTCGCCGAACTAGCAATCAAAACTAGAGAAACCAAAATCACTGACTGCCCTGTAGTGCTGCTCACAGTTTCATAAGTTACCTTACAATGATTAGAATTTGAACAGCAAACCAGCCTCAGATCAGAAGCAAAACTCTTCTGAATGAGCTGTAAGTGTGTGTTTCACCCCGTGCGGCTAAACCCTCCCACCATTGAGCCCCATTCTCATGCAGCTGGCGATTGGACGCCTCTCCTCGCCAATCTTATGACAGATTGCCTTGGGTATTTGTTATGACGTGGAGGATGGAACCATTTGTTATAGTGGACCTGTGGCAGCAGCAGAAGGACCTGAATGTGTAAGAATGTTCTCAACAGGGAATTTTAAACAGTTGCTGGGATTAAGAAAGTGTGTAGCCAGAACTTGAGAAACACAACCATTTTTTTTAAACCGACCTAATGTGTACGTCTTCCAACTAAATAATTTCATGCATCTTTTTTAAATAAAATTATGCAACTCGTGACATTTTGTAAAACCAGTCAAACCCTTAAAACTGCTATCAGGAACCTACTGCACAAATGCAAGTACCATTTCCACAACGCCACTAAATTACCTGTAAATAAACAGCATCCCTTCTCTGTCCCAAACAATTCCTCACTAGTAGCCCAGGCAGATATTTATCACTATTGATCTACCTGGTCCTCGCCAGGGCCTTTTGTTCTCTCGGCTCCAGGCTCTGACCTCAATTAAGTTATGAATTTCAATCTGATGGACTGAGAGCGCGTGGCCAGCGCAGCCGTGCAAGAAGGGGAGTGGATTAATTAGACACAGTGGCTCTGGGATTCACCCTCTACTGCTGGCTACTCGTGTTGTTTTCATAAGAAAACGCACACAGAGAGAGGAAGAAGAAAGATGAGAGAGAAAGACAGAGAATTAACAATAGAAAAAAAAGAATGAAAACGGTAGCTCAAGCTCAATTTTAAAACTGCATTAAACTTGATGTTTCAATAAAGTCCACAATACATCTAAATGGCAAGTGGCAAATGAGTTAAAATACCAAACTGACTACGAAAAAGCTTGCATTTACAGAACGTAATGCACTTTCGAGGCAGCAAAAAAATATAAATTATAATTAATTAATGACCAATCACAAATCAGTATGCAAACAGACTTAAGAAGGAAGACCAACTGCAATTTAGCTTGCATAATTTATGGTCTGTCACGGTCTGTTTTGGATGCTTAGATAGATTAAACACATTCTATCAATGAGGATGCCAAGAATTTTGAATCTTCAGTGTCAAATTTCTTAAAAAGTATAACTTTACAATAAAAACAAATGAAAAAGCATACTGAAATTGCCATTTTACACTGAGAAAAAAATTGGTGTATAAACAATTTTCACTCAGAAATTGCTAATAAATTTCACAATTACAAAGAAACGGCAAGTAACACACTGAATTAAAAGTGAATTTTTGAAGTAGAAAGACTGAAATGATTCTGTAAAACATATCTTTTTGTATGTTTTTATTTGTTTATTTATTTTAAACAGTGCACCAAGTTTTATGTCGAAGGCTGAAATTATCTACAAAACAATGTTTGAACTTGGCCTGTACATAAAGCAATTCAAGCTAAATTAATTGTGGAAGATTTATTCTTGGGACAGACTATTTTTAATATTTGTAGAAACAATTTTCACTCCGAAATTGCTAATAAATTGAACAATTAATTAAAAAGAAACAGCAAGTAACACATTGAATTAAACATGAAATTTTGAAGTAGAAATATTTTCTTGTACGTACAACTTTGAAAAATCACTTTTTTCCAGTGTACTTAATTTGAATACTAAAGGAATGTCACTACAATGCTGCCTTCCAAGCAATGCACAAAAATATACATTATCTAGAATGCGAATTAAAACGATTTCACAGAAGTTTCACCAAAAGTGTTATGGGCTTGCTGTTCTGCAGCATGCTGCTTTGTTTGAGAGAAGCGCTCATTAGTCAGGCCTTTGAGACTCAAAACATGCTTTGTGGTGTTAAGCTCATTAAGCTTGTGCATGTGCCATGCTCTAATTTCTGATCATGCCACTAAAACTGTGTTTACATTGTTTAACATGCAAATAACTTGCAAAATAGCTGCCCCTGATTGAATAAAGAACAGTTTAGAAATTTGTGTGTTTGTATACATCCATTTTAAGACTGAAGCCTACAGCTGGTAGGTGCAAGATTGCAGTAACACAGGTTGAGCTTGACTAACACCTATATGAATCAAATCTCTGATAAATAGTGTTTGTGTTCTGTTTGGTATTTACAGAAAACTGGATCCTTTATCAGCATCAGCAGCGTGAAGGTGTTTACACTGGAAGTGTCAAAGTTGCACCACGTCACCTCTAAAGCCTCACTAACATGGACCAATCAGCTGTGAGCTTGAGGTACTACTACAACATATGTAGACTACCATTCAAAAGTTTTTTAAAAATAAATTAATTCTTTTATTCAGCCAAGATTTAAATGTATCAAAATTGACATAAATGTGGTTCTTTTAAACGTATAGAATACTGAAAGAAATCACAATTTCCACAAAAATCTTAAGCATCACAACTGTTTCTAACATTGATAATAATAAGAGCTGTTTCTTAAGCTGCAAATCAGCATATTAGAATGATTTCTGAAGGATCGTGTGACACTGAGGACTGTAGTAATGGCTGCTGAAAATTCAGCTTTGCCATCAAAGGAATAAATTAAATCTTAAAATATATTAAAATAGAAAAGTTATTTTAAATTGTAATAATATTTTACAATATTACAGTTTTTACTGTATTTTTTAGCAAATGAATGCAGCCTTAGTGAAACATCTTATCAGTATATGGTTAAAAATTAAGGCAAGGTAGCCAAACACAAAAAAATTTAAATCACAAGCTGGCCTTTAACGGTTAGAAGTAAAAAAAAAAAAAATTCCATGCAAAACCATCAAAACATATTTGTATATAAATCCAATTTATTTCAGATTTCAGATATTTAAAAAAATAAAAGCATGTCATGACGAAAGCACAATGGATGCTTTCATTATAGACAGCTTCATCGATTAGTTTTGATGTGCCATGCCACATGCCAGTAGCACACATAAACATACATGCACAAACACACACGCAGTGTGGGTTTCATAGTTGACTGTGTTCTACTTCCTCTGCAGTGCAGTTGAAAACAACAGATGCATGAACTCATGAACACGGATTTTACCAGTACAAATCTAACTCTACCACACATGAAACACATTCTATGAGCGTGAAAAACGAATCCCCCCAAATTCTCCCATGTGTCCCAGTTCTGTTCAATTATGCAGAGAGAACTGAATATATGTTGGCGCTGTGATGTTGTCCAGGTGGCTGTTGACAGGTGGCATATGAGCTAATCTGAGAAAACAAGGGGACTTTTTACTCCTATTGTGGTTCCCCTTGATCCAGGATTACACCAAAACACCACGATATTCAAACTACCACACTCTCCACGACCACCGCATCCATCATCTGATTAATTGCAATACAATTTTCATTGAAGACATAATAGCATTTTTTTTTTACTCCCTTCCCCCTATTTCAATCAACAAATTAAAAGTATAAACCACTTTTATCTTTATTTAACACTAAGCTGAAATCGGATCACAAGACAGATGCGTGAAAATGCTGCCCTCGTCCACAGTTCATGGTTCACCATTATTCACTGTTGGTCTATTGTAATATTTTTCATTTATAATGTTCTACCTTTAGTCTTGTATAAGTATCCAAAAACAGCTCACACTTGAACCTAATGAGTGGCTACGAAGTTTTATATTGCTATCAAATCACACTTCCTGAAAGTATTAACATAGGATAATAATTTTGGCAGGAGCAGTACCATGATTTAACACGGCCATATTTTCTCTCATGCCACCTGAACGCTACTTAATAAATCTGCCCTCAATAATTCTCCTGCTGTAGTCCAGCAATATTCACCTTCTGCTGTAACCCAGAACAGAACTTTGAAGGACGTCTGTTGATTCTACATGGCTGTTGGGGAACCACCTTTGATCCAAAAAAGCGACAAAAACAGACCAATTTACGTCCAAAGTCAAGTAAAAATTTTATTTCCAAGGAAATACAATGCTTGGCTCCAAAATATACATGTATTATATATTTATTTATTTTCACATATTATAAAATGTAAAATATTTAATAATACATTTTATTATATATATCTATATACGTATATATATATATATATGTGTGTGTGTGTGTGTGTAACTACCTGTTATTATGTACACAAGAACTTCATATGATTATATATGCTATACAGAGCCGGTGATAAAATGTCTGTTACATATAATATGACGTTATGTTCTCTATTGAAGCTCTAGTGGGGATTTCACATTAGTCTAACTGTTAAAATACAACAATAGAACAGCATTGATTGTCATCTAGGCCAAGCATTTGCTCTCCACCCACACAATTAAGGTCCACAGCCACCAAAAAATAAATAAATAAAAAAAAAAAAGGAGTGATTTGCAAATGTTCTGATTATATGGGTTGTATAATGCAAACAATTTGGCTGATTACTTCCAATTGATTTGTCTTAGCGAGAATCAGATCAAGCCAGTGACCGCATAACTGTACTTCACCGTATTCATTTCCCAATGCAGTATTCAGCCAGTCATCTTAAAACAAAGCCAAATCTGCCATTATGACCTGTAGTGTTTTTTTAAATACAGCTACCTGCTTATAGTGTGTTGCTTAACACCCACTGAGATACACTGATACGATATCCCTAAATGATTAAAGTATAGACGCTGCTAAGCTCAGGGATGGAGGATGGCAGCAGGACTTCCCAGTTCACAGTTCTCTCAGATTAGTGAGGATGAGGGTCTCTCAGCTCTGGGATCAAAAAGTAAAATATGTACTTCTCCACAAGATATTTAGAAGTTCACAGTATTTCGCTCAATTTTGAGATTTGCTGAAAATTACATTTAAGACTGCTATTGAATTATCAGGGTTTTTAAAGTAAAATTCACTTTATTTGCATTATTTAGATTAAGATGACAGCAAAGGTAATCTGAATGTAAAAATATAGGAAATGAGCATGCACAATTAAATATTCATGATCAACTGATACAATAAAAAAAAAAGAAAACTCTTATATCGACCTATAACCAAAATATGGTGCACCCAGAATACACAATATATTTGTCACCATATTGGACCCAGTATTGGTCAAATTTTAGGACTTTCAAACAAATAAAAAAATTCAAGAAATTAATTGCATGGCATGCGCATGCAGATTAATTAATCTAATTAATTAAATGAATCTCAGAGGTTTATATATTTTTGTTTTATTTCATTTAATTGAACCTAAACTCATTACTTGTCTAACAGTTCACAGCAATCCATTTTGAATAAAAATTAATAAAAGTGTTAATTTCCTTTTTTTCCCCCCTTTCTTACCCCAAACTTTTAAATGGTAGCCTATCACAGTTTCCATAAAAATAATAGGCAGCAAAAACAATGTGTTTTCAACACTGATAATAAGAAGAAATGTTTCTTGAGCAATAATAATAAAAAAGCATAAGAGACTTAATTTTAATATAATATTTTTACTGTATTTTGGATCAAATAAATGCAGCCTTGGTGAGCTTAAGAAACTTCTTTTAAAAACATCTTAATGACACTAAACTTGTGAACCAAAAATATAAATCTAAATAAATAAATGAATGCATGCATATTTATATCTATAAAATCATAGATACTCTGTTATTATGCCTAATTATTACCTTTTTTAAAACCTTAACTGAGATTTAAATGATGCAAAGGTAATCTAAATGTAAAAATATAGAAAATTAACATGCACAATTAAATATTCAATACCAATATATATTTGTTTTATTCCATACCATTAAGCGAAAACCCATTACTTGTCTACAGTTCACAGCAATCCATTTTGCAATTAGGTTAGTCAATCTGTGTTTGTTGAAGGACTAAATATTTGCCTTCATATCAGTTATCAGCTATAACATAAAAATGATCTTGTCATCGTTAATCAGCCAGAATGTCTTAATGTATGTTTACAGACTCACCTGGCTATTAATATCAGCGTTGTTCTGCAAGAGTAGAGACACCAGGTCTTTGTGGCCCCTGTCACATGCCCAGTGCAGGAGAGCCCGGCCCTGAAACACAAAAATACTTCATTACGATGAAACTTTACAAAGTAAAAAAAAAAAAAAAAAAACTCATGCTGGATGCAAATACAAAATCTCTGTGCAGACAGTTTCAATTTTTCGGCTCGGTTTTGCTTCAGACAATGCACAATACGTATTTTAGTCAATCTAGGGCATTCGATCCCATGATTCAATCCCTTACTCTGATTTAGATACAATTATTTAATAAACTCCCTTTTCTGGCTTTGATACGGAGCATAGAAATGAGCACCAGCCAAGAGACGTGTAGAATATTCAATAACATCCCATATTTGCGAAGGATCTCTGCAACCCAAAACCATAGACGTGTCTACAGACCACACAACTTACGGGTCGACTCCTTCAGATGGATGAATCCCTCTTCACCTCTAACACATTCATTTATTCCCTTTTGTTATGTGGACCTCTATAAAGTTAACTTCACAATAGATTTCTCTCCTCCAGAAAAAATAAATTATGCACAACAATTTATAACTCAAGAGCCTTTAGACCCAACTATTTAACGACGTGCTGACAGGATGAGTTCTTCTCTGGCCACCGTGCAGGCGAGAGAGAAGGGCATTGTGGGAGGGAAAGATCATGGGCGCTCCAGAAAGAAATTGCAGTGGGACGGGAGACTCTTTAGCAGTGATTGATGTGATTCTGGGGACAAAAAGAGAGCAGACCCTTGATCACCAGCGCCGCCCCCCCCCAGGCCTGAAGCCGCTTGTCCCCATCAAGGCTGCAGAGTTCATTTTTCAGTGAAGGCCAATTAGATAAAGCCAACTCCTTAAGTCATATTCCATGGCTGAAATTATATTGATCCCCACTGCTGCATGTTAAAATTTATATTTATGAGGGAGTCTGAAGCCTTACACCACAAGAGTTTTTTGTTTTTTGGAGAGGAGGGTGTCCCCTGGACGCTTTGTCAAATTTTCATCAGAGATATAGCCAAACATTTTTCTTTTCTCCTACTCTCCTCCCAAGACACACCATTCTCTGGATCCCTTCACTAGCAAATTGTACTACAATGGCTTTTTGGACATGGTGCCATGATAATACCATGGCTTCTAGACATGGTATTTTTGTAGCACCATGTAAATAGAAAATAATTGCACATGAATATGGTAATTGTTCAGTACCATGGAATATATTAGAGCACCATCGTATTATTATTATTACATCATTTGTATTATATCACATAATTTACCAAACCTGAGTGTTCCCAACTAGGTTTTTGTCAAACATGTAATTAGAAGAAACAAGTAACAACCTAAATGATAGCGGTTTAAAAAGTAGTGAGGAGGCTACTGCTACATGTTTTTCAATTTCATATGTCATTTTATCATAGCCTGTTTCTGCCTTGGAGTAAAAAATGAAAAAGATAGGCCTAATTGTGAGATTAGGTATAAAATAATAAAAGTTGCCATTATGAGAAACAAAGTCGTAACTGCAAAGTAAAAAGTCACCAAATTATAAAGACATGACTATATTAATAATTAGGTCAGTTTAAGGTCAGTATGTTGTTGTTGTTTTTTTAAAGAAATTATTACTTTTATTCAGCAAGTATCAGATTCCACAAAAATATTTAGTAGCACAACTGTTTTAAATATTTCTTGAGCACCAAATCAGCATATTAGAATAATATCTGGCAGCTGAAAATTAGGTTTTGCCACAACGGGAATTAATTACATTTTAAAATACATTCAAATAGAAAACTGTTGTTTTAAATTGTAATAATATTCCACAATATTACTGTTTTAATTGTATTTTTCAGCAAATATATGCAGCCTTGGTGAGCATAAGACACTTCAGAGACATTAAAAATACTTATAGACCCCAAACTTTTGAACATTAGTATATATATATATATATATATATACTCTATCAGCAGCATATTTTGATATATGCATATGAATTTAATGAAATTTTTAATAATTAATGTAGTACTTAAGTATTTTGCTGTAAATAAAGACACATACGGATCCATTTTTGATATTATGAACATTGTTATTGAAACTAACAATTTCATAGAACATGAATCACTCAGTAATTAAGAAATGCTAACAAGATGTGAATGGAGAAAGGGATAAAATCATCCTTTTGGTGACAATGTCTCAGCAAACATAACTAACACACGGAAAAACCTATATCATCTTCCCCAATTTCCTTCCAACTAAGCGGAAGAGCTCTAGAAACAGTAAAGATGTAGAAATCCCACTGATTTCACCTTCCTGTCCCCAGTGAGAGGTCTGGATTAAGTGTGACAGGCATGGACTCTACTGCGGGGCGGTACATTGAGCAGGGCTCAGTGCAGATGAATAGGAAACCTCTTGCTTTACAATGTCCTTGCCAAAGAGGGTGGAGAGCTGCCGGCTCAATTGCCTGTAATTGATGGGGCTGTTCCAGCGCAAACAGAGATAGAAAAGGAAAGCATGAAATTCTTGGGACATTTGCACAAATCAGTCCAGCCCTCTTTTGTTCAGGCGGAGGGGCTAATGCCTATCAGAGGCGTGTGTAGACCTGTGGTCCACAGGGCATTTAAGACATTGCCATTACAAGACAGGAAAAACATGACACACAATGCATGTCATAAAGCAGCAGAAAAAACACCTAAATTCACACTGACAATTTAGATAAAGTTCTTCAGTATGTCAGATATAAATGCATGTGTTAGATCGCTGTTGTTTTGAGTTGACATTATCTGATTCAGAAATAAATTCCTTTATAAAAAACATTATGTGCTGGTAGAGTGATGGTATGAGATGGTAATATTTCAGTACTTTGAAATTTGTCCATTTTTACATAGTGGTTCTTACATGGTATTCCAATGTTGGCCATGAATATCATGGTTCTTACCATTACAGTGGGGGCCACAAGTCTGAGACAAGTAGTGAAAATATTAAATTTAGAATTTCTCTATTTTAATACCATTTTTTTCATTATGGTATTATTATTATTATTATTAGAACAAATATGTGTTTAATTTAATACATTTTCATTTTTACAAAAGAGTTTAATATAGACAATGTCTTTAATAGTTTTAAATTCCCATATAATAAATGTAAAACATTTTGACCCAACTGTACATTCAAAAACATGATTTATTATCCTATTATTTATAATTTATAAAAACATTATTATTAGTAGTAGTAGTAGTATAGCATCATCAAAAAATGAAATTAATAAATTATAAAAAAAATCACCACTAGTAAAAATACTTAATGTCCCCCCTCGGCTACACTTGTACATTAAGGGTAATGTATTTGACCCCTGCAGAGATAGGCCGAGCTGTAGGAGGTCAAATGGCAGCCATGAAACTCATCTCAGCCCAAATGAAACCACTGGCAACAGCCTCCACTGAAAACATCAAATGGCATTATGTTCAGAACAGAGGGCATACATCACATCTTAATGCTGCAGTGAGTTAAAGCCACACTGTCTGTGTTTAGGACTTCAGACTGGAAGCAAGGCCTCATTTCTCACTGTTCTGACCTTGAGCATGTTGCACAGCTTGACCACAAGCGGAAGATGGCAGAAAAATATATATACATATATATATATATATATATATATATAT